TTCGTTGGCCATGCAATATTTCTATTCGTTTATTTCCTATTTAATTTATTTTTGTTTTTGTCTCTTAGATTCGATGCCTATATTGTTAATATCTACCCTTTCCGCTGGCCACGTAATATTCTTTCTATTCATTTATCTATAATATCTTTATATTTTATTATTTATGTTTTTATGGGGAATTTTAATATATATACAATTATTAATGATATTAATTTTGAAATTATTGCCGATTTAAGGATTATTTTTATTATTATAATTATTCTTATTATACTATTTTTCATAATTATATTTCTATATGTAGTAGTTTTTATTTTTATTATTGCAATTATTGAAATTATCTTTTTATTCTTATTCGTATTCTTTTTTTTATTTTTATTCTTATAATTCCCATCATTATTAATATTATTCTTATTATCACCCCTAATATTATTCCTATTGTTATTATTACTACTATTATTCCTGCTTTAGGGGGAGTAGCTTTGCCAAAAAAATCTACTCCACAAAAGGCAAAAATTAAATTCAAGATTAATAAAAATTCATCTTACAAATCATTATGAATAAAATTAAATAATCGGCTATTACAATGATATATATAATTTTGATTCTTATTAACATATAAGAAAAATAAAAGATATATATAGGATATCAACAATTAAATAGAAGATATATTTATATGTTATATTTATTAATTTTGAAGAAATCATTGATATAAACAAAATTAATATCCATCATATAATATATATAACACACATAAATACAACATATTTCGGCGAAAGATAAAACGCTAGATGGCGCAAATTTTATCAATATTTTTTATTAAAATAACGAATCCCGGATTTAGGAATTTAAATTGTTACCCAAATTAATTAAATATAATTTTAAAGATTTATTAATAATATTTATATTTAATATTTATTAATTTTTAAAGTAATATTAAACAAAGGTATTATTTAAAAAAAAAAGAAAAAAAAAAAAACTATAAGAAAAAAATAATATCCGCAATCAATATTTAAAACATAATATTTATAAAAAAATAAATATCGCCCAATTAAATAATAATAAATTCCATCACAATCCCATAAAAATCATTTTACATAAAATACATTATCGAAATTAAACTTAATATATCCTATAATTAAATAAATCATTCATCCAATTTTGCATTATATCCCCATCCTCAACCTCCTCCGCATCATAACAATCGAATATATAACTAGCCATCCCAACATTAAAATCATTTCCTCCGTCCGAAAAACGAAATAAATCAACTAAAATTTTAAATCAAAACCTTCTTAATTAATTTCATATTTACTAAATTATATCCTATTAAATCATCCCCTCTATAAAATATATTTCTCTCCGAAATAAATCTCTATAAAATACAATCAACCAAAAATATATAATTATATAAACAAATATATATATATAGACATCTATAAAATAATAGAATTTTATAAAATATTTTAAAATCATACCTTTATATTTGTCTTTTTATAAATTATCCAAAACCTTCCAAAATTCAAAAAAATATATCTTTATAACATATCCTCCTAATTGAAAATCCTAAGGCCCTGGATTTTGTAGAGCTTCCTCATACGAAGATCGAATTTCATTTAGATTCCATTCCAATTCTAATCAATCCTATCATGTCATATCATATCATAATCCCATTCCATCCCAACCAATCAAATCTAAATCAATATCAAAAACGATTCCAATATATCAATATCAAAATCAACATCTAAAATCCAAATCCAATCGATTATTTCAATATTTTCTCCATAGAATGAATTGCAATATATAATGACCTTCTCAATTGAATATTTTTGTGAGCTTACAATCTGCTTGGCAGATCTGCCTTTGAAGCTCTGATTCTATTCAGCAATTGCCTTCAGCTATGGCGCCAATTCTCTTGAGCCTGCCATGGACACTTAAAATCCAACGTGGGCGGCTGTGGTATGGCCGCAACTCAAGACTTCTACGAGTACCAAAATAGACGTTTGCCTTTGACCAACATGTGGTCTACGACGCGTTTGCATTGATTCTTTCCAGATCCCTGAGTGGTGTTTCTTGAACAAAAATAACACGTCTCAAGTCTGCTTGTAGGTTTAAAGGGTGCCACCCCAATATATATCTATAGCACATTCTAGCACCAACTCTGCAAATGGACTTCTTCCTTACAAGCACAGCCATGGACGGCGGCATGGTGATGTAGTCAATGTTGTTGCGACAATTGCTAGCAAAAGGCAGCACTTCTGCTCATTACGCTTACCCCTCCCGATCCATTCGATTTTGGGCGGTTTCGGTGTCCTGCGCGAAGTCAGAGGGCGACGGGGCCAGTTCCGGAATCAATTCCTGGCGTTCGGACTAGCCACCAAGGGACGGAATGGTCTGCACCAGGTTTTTCATATTTGTTCACGATCGATCGCACGAGTGAACGACCGACTTGAAGCACTCCTCCGACCCTCGTGAAGAAGTCCGAAGCCACTCTCTTTCGGCCAGGCCTATCCTGCATCCACTGAACACGTCCTCACCGGTCAACTCAAAGACTAAAAAAAAGATGTTGAGGTTTTCAAAAGAGGTGAATTGATGTGAATTGACCTTATAGGATCCTACTGGGGTACCTATGGGATAGTCGAACTAGGTTTCTTCAACCTCAGTTGGATCCTTCATCAACGAAAAACGCGGGGTTCCTGGGCTCCCACCGTCTCCCCGACACCGAAAGGGTCTCTTCGGTCTCCACGCCACCCGTGGCGCCAAGGGTGGCCTCGTGGAGGATGGCGCTTCCATAGGCCTTGCCGCGTGGGTGGCAGTGGCAGCACCTCAACGTCTGAGGCCAGGGACGGAGAGACCGTCTTTGTTTTTCAAAAAAAAGGAGAAACAAAGACCGTCCATGGCGAAGAACGGCGATGACAGACGTCTGTCCACCGACCCCCACCCCCCTCGCCAAATGACCAATTGACGTTGGTCGAGGGATCTCCTGATTTCAAAGCAAAGCCTGTTCCACCAATGAAAGGAATAGATGGAAGGAACATGACGGAACAGTGAATAGTGGTGACACGGTGTTCCAGTTTTCAGGCAAAGGATTGATGGAAGCACCAGCTGCCTCAGAATGCTAGTCTCTGAGTCCTTGTGGACATCCTTTCAGCTACCAAGACCTGTGTTCTCAGCCAGTCTGCATTCATAGTCCCTGTACTACTCCCTGTGTATGTTGATGCTCAGCTTCAGGTTGGAGTAAGCTAAACAGTGCGTACAGCCCATTCTCCATGCTTTGGGTCTTTAGAGCTGAGCCTATTTGGAGATTTGGAGACCAAGCGATGAAGCCTCGCGTTCACTGCTGGACGATCAACAGGCTTTCTCTCGGCACAGGTGGCGCATCTCTCACACCAACTCTGCCGTGGACTCTTTGGTCATTGGGGGAGAATCATTCACCCCTCAGGCGCACAAAGACATTCCGAACTGGACAGTGTCCTGACGCTGCATGTTTACTTGTTTGGATTGAGCCATTGCAGCTACCCCATCCACGATGACTCCAGTCTCCAACCCCTGGGTGCCACCATTGGGTATGGTCTGCCTCTGGGAGCGACTGACACATCAGTAGCTTGACCAGGCTGTCACAGAAGAACTACATTCCAAAATGCCAAAACCAACACCAAACACAATCATTTGCGGCCTGGATGAGCAGGTTTAACAAAAAAAGCTTGCTTTGGGATGACATGCCCACGCTTGCCCCTTGAATGACGCTTGTGTTGACACACGATCACCATCGCTTCTGCTCACCATCGCCTCTACTGGCTGTTTTCCATGTTCCACCCGTGGCAAGCCTGCTTTCCGGACCCAAATCATCACTGGCAGTCTTGAGGTTGGGAGGGTTCCTGGATACTGCAATCTTCAGCACAGGGACCCCAATGTATACCAACCAAAGAAATGAGGAAGTTGACCAGTATATCAAACGCAATAGACTTTCTCTATTTGGAGACATCTACAGAAAGAACAAACGCAGCGGCATTTGTTTTGTGTGAGCTCGAAGCCTGCAACTTCTCGCGTGCGCCCCAAAGAGGTGTCTTCTCTAAATGGGATGATGAGGCTGGTGAGACCACCGGAACGGCACCACGGCACCGTCCCGGGGCCGTCCCGACCACACCACGGCAAGAGGGAAAAAGAAGGGAAGATGAGCCGCAGCTCATGCGGCGACGTTTCGCGAATCCTGGCGGAGTGTGTGGGTGGAAGTGGCAATGGAGGGGATGAAGGCATTCTTGGACAAAGAATGGTGTTAATGAATATTGTTTTGTGGCTCCAGAATGGTTTTTGCAAGTGTTTACATCTTTGGGGATCTTTGGTTCATCAACGGTCTATACATGTCCCACACCCTGCAAACGTGGATTAAACCCACCATGTTGCTGTTTGGATTCACGGGGGGGGGTCCGTTTGGTGATGAGGGTCTCGTGCGAGCCATCCCCGTGGAAACCGGGAAAGAGATAAAGACATCTTCCCCCAGGTCCTCAGATGGGGATTTAGCTACAGGAAAGCATCATCACCAAAAACAAGGAACATGTGGAGAGGTCAGTATACTGCAGGCGCTGCCACGTTTGGCAGTGCATGGTGGCACGTACAAGCTTAGAATCGCCCACACTCGCCACCCACCTCTGGGACACAGCCAGGACCCATGAGACAACCAGCCGGGCAAATACCGCTCAATATGTCTATTGCATATATATATATATATATTTATGTTATATATACATACTATATTCCATTATATTCCACGGCATACAATGTCATGCAAGATGAGTAGGTCTATTGTACCATAGGTCTATTCTATAGCTATGTCATGCAAGCATACAATCCTGTTTGTGGTTAGGCCAAGAGGGCAAACAGCAAACATCTATCCCTGCACGATGAGATACATGGAGTCCGCAAGCACTCCTCTAAAACATGTATTGCCAACTCCTTAGATTTCCCAAACGCTTCCGCATTCACAGGCAACCTCCAAACAACAAGATATGAAATCCCACAACACGTCGGGCTAACGGACACCGCATGTTTCAAACCCTCCTGGATCCTGCTTCTTCTTCTTCTTCTTCTTCACTTCTCTTCTTCTTGAACTCTTTCGCTCCTCCACAGCATCGGCCGGCTCCGGCAGCACACTCGCCGCTTCCTGCAAGGCCTCGCAGTCTGCCGGGAGAGGCCGAGAGGTGTGAGCTGTGGGGGCGAGCGACGGGTGGTACCACATCTCCAACAGCTCGTTGGGGGTCGGTCGTTAAGCCCTGAAGGGTCTCAATTGAAGGGTGCTGGACGTTGGATGATTTTTGCAGCTAGTGGCTTAATGAACTATACTGTACCATTTTGGAATGATTCAACCAAGACTTCACTCTCCCCCAAAAGATGATAGAAATGCACCTCTCTTCCCTCTACCAGCACCTCTAATTACCACCGAGAGGTCTCCGAAACGGAGGCTTTTGCAGAGTTAAAAAGCTAGCAGGTGGGTCCTGATATATACTGTACGTATTTCCCTGGCGCCATGAGCTCTCGATTGTTCCTTCTACCCTTTACCGGTCTCTCTGGGACCGCCGGTCACAGGGTCATGGGTGAAGCATTCTCGAACATGGCGCTTCACGCCCCAGCATGGTTCCGTTCGAGCGGCATTGGGGTGATTGGCATGGTTCCGGGGTCCATGCAGGTACATATTTCTTACATGGAGCCGGTTGGACCAACCATTTCCGCACCTGTCACCACCTTCGATTCGTGCTCTTCCACAAATTCAACATATAGCCCTAGAGCTCGGGGGGGGTCAAAGACCGCAACTTCGTAAATTGGATGTACTATGACTATTTCCATTGATTTCCTATCATATGATCATCCCTAAACACAAGCTCCTTCCCAACTCAGCGTGGGATTCTGCGACCCTGGAACCCATCCGGATGGTAAGAGAGGATATTGACAATGATCTGCGTGAATATCCCAAACAAATAGTCCAAACAATCCATGCGTCATGCATGCAAGATTAAAAAACGACCAGGACCCCTTCTCCACGACACCAGTGTGTCGATGCCGTCGTAAATTCTCACGGATGATCAAACCGAAACTTCAAAACTTCCTCCGAGCTTCCAACATCGGCACCACCATACTGTGTGATCCGTCCCAAACAAGTTGCTGATTAAACAACAGCTATAATCAGCTAGATATAGTATATAAAATATATAAAATGCTAGAAACAAACAAAACACAAGCCAACACACACACCTCTGGCCCCATGCCCGTGACCAACGACCGGTTCCCAAAGGGGTCCCGCATCCACGCCTTGGAGCCGAGGCTTCGGGCGAAGCCCAAGATCCCGGACCTCGGTGTGTCCACCGATTTCGATTAGCCGAGGACGGAGCCAAAGGAGACGTCTCAACGGCCGAAGTGCGTTGATTTGGGCGGAAAGCACGGAGTCGGAAGAGACAAGAGATGAGCACTTGGTGCTTCAGTGGTGGAACAGGTGGGTGTTTGATAGGTGTTTTATTCTTATTTTGTTGAGGGTAGAACCATACACAAAGATATATGCCATATCTGATAGAGTGTCTGGGTCTGATGAATGGTAAGAATCGAAGAGGTCATAGGTGCCCTGGCACCTTCCTGGCATCTTCAGGTCCTTCTACCCAAAGTGAAAATCACACTGCGCTGAGAAATGCAAGCACAAAAACCCACAAGAACTGCACTCACTGGGGCTCAAACAGCTAGGGTAACAAACTGTTAATTTGGCCGTAAAACCATCTGTCTATATCATTCTGTATCTTCACCCATCACCTGTGTGTTGATCCTTGTTGTTCTTCGGGCCGTTGCTTGGCATCCCCACACGGATGCCAAGTCCCTGAGTTCATCCGGCAGCTGTGCCTCCCTGGGGTCACGAAAGACCTGGCGAGCGGACCGAGCTCCACCGGTTGCCATGTCTGGGCCATCTGGGGGGGGGCAAGCGAAACTAGACTCGAAATGTCCAGGTCCTGGTCACGTTCCGGTCCAAAAATGATATATACTGTACTATATATATATATTAACTTTATATACTCTGTATATATATATATACACCAGCACCATCCAGTTTCAATGGTTAGTGGATAGACAAGACATCTTCAGGGAAGTCTATAAACCACCCTTGGGGTGGTGCTGGTTTTTGGAAGACTGTCACTGTTTCGATGGTTCAGGGACGTTCAGGGTAACCGTTCACTATGATTCATCGCAGATTTGCAGAGGCAGGAGCGACCGCACCCTCTCATTGAGGCCTGAGGCCACCCAGTCACGGAGGCCATGCATTTTTACTCGGTTGGTCTCAGATCCAGTTCCCTACTAGGCCTTATAGGATAGGCTTCTGTTTGGCGGAGGACCGGATTCGGAAAACACGGGACCAAATCCGAGAGATTCACCCAACGGCCTTTCGTGACAACTGTGACATGCCGAGTGACCCTGTTTTTCGATGAGGTGACCAATCTTCGACCTGCATCTCGGCTGCTCGGTTTTGAAACGCGCCTGCCAACGGTCGGGAGGAATGCCGGCGAAGATGGCCTGACCGCGCGGAGGTGGCGCAGAGGACCGGGACAGAATGAGAGGACTGAGAGGGAGGAAGAACATCACCGGGCAAAGACTTTGACGCTTTTTTTGGTGGTTTTTGATCATCATCCACCTGGGGGAGAACATACATATTTTGTCAAGTGTAGTCGTAGTAGACGGTTTTTCTGCCTTTTCGGCCTTGACACTAGCGCAAACGATGGGGTGGCCCGTGATCCGTGGAATATCCGCCCTCGCCTTCACACGGGGGAGAACTTCTCCGCTGCACAAAGCCGGTGTTGAAAGGAATCGGCCTTCGGATAGTCCAGTATAGGTGTACAGTGTACAGTACAATATATGGGAATTTGCCTTACTGCCCGTACTATCCATACCATACACCTTCCGGTGTCGAAAGACATTTGCCTTTCAAAGAATGAAGTCCATGTTTAGCTGGCAGGAGTCTGGGAGGGAGCCTCAAAGGACAAACGGATCGGTTGTATCATGTTGTATCGATGTGATGTTTGCTGGGCAAACTGAGAGGTTCCGCAGCTACCGATGGACGACCTCATGCTACCAGCCATCTGACCGATCGTACTGCAATCGATCGTGGAAATGCTCCTAGGGAGTGACCGGATGATTTCTTCATGTGTCACCCCGTTAAGAGTGAATTGTCCAACCCTCACCAGCTCTCACAACCATATACGTACAAATATATCTGATGATTTTGCCATATTTTGCCAAATTCAGATCACTGCGGACCTCATCCACTGAAGCGGTGGGGCTGACCTGGCTCTGCGCAAGCTGGAACATGACCCCTTTTTTTCTGAATTGTTCATCACTTAAGAGAAAGCATTGTCCTTGGCAGGAAGACAATCAGTGTACATCACCCCATGGAATTGCAAACAACCGTGAAAGATTGACCAAGATTGTCCTAGAATCATCTTCCGGATCTGACAAGCACCGGAACATTTTATCTGTTTTGTATGGCCCCTGATTGTCCTACTGCTGGTCACAGGGAATCTGAATGACAATGGATTGTGCCCAAACACGTCATGTATGCAATAGTTACCTACATTAGGATCATAAGTGGGTAAACAATGGTAAACATATGTAAGTAACCATTCCATACATGGACCAATACATGGATGGTCTGGGATACTACTTTCATTGACATACTGGCCTTACGAGTCTCTCGGAGATATAGTAAACGAAGTCCAAAGCAGCGGATTCTGACGATGCTACACCAGGTCTGCAACTTATGCCCCCAGTGACACCCCAAACTGCGGGATAACACCAAGCCACCGTTGGGCCCCAAAATACGGAGAACCCTGCAAAATAGCATCCCAGTGGTTGCCAGTATCCCACTTAAAGAACACACCTACTACTTGCTGAAGCTACTACAAAGCCTCTTCTAATCAGTTCTTGCATCATTATGATCTTCAAATTGGAACGCTAAGCCTCCAGCCTCTGTGAGAGTGCAGGTTGCCCAAACGAAAGGTCATAGGAAATACCACTTCAAAGCTACACCGACCTCAAAACTGTAGCAAATCAATCTGTGTTCGTTCAAGTAGGTTAACAATCCAGTGCACCAGCAACCCGCCTGGTCTCCAAATCTCCAGATCTACCCCACCTGGTTTGGCCCTTTTCTTCCAAGAAAATCCCTGTCTCACATGTCTCCCATCTTTGTAAGCCAAGGAGTCCGGCAGGTTCACCGCACCTGTCGAATCAGGACCTTGCTCACTTGCACCGGATGCCTCGCGGTGATGGTCTCAAGTCCCAGCGTGACTGGATCGAGTGGCGAGTCGCCGGTGTCGATGCGTGCGATGAACACATCGTTGGCCAGCGTAAACCCTGGGCGGTTTAGCCTGAAGCTCAAGTGACTCAAGCCGATAGAGGTCTTGGTCTGTGAGAGACCATGTTTGGATTAGTGGGCGAAAGCCACGAATGCTGGGGCTCCAAATACTGCCGTACTGGTGCTTGGAACCTGGCAACAAACCCCACTCACCCCATTCCCATCGAAACGAAGAGTACAGGGGTTCGAGTATAGGTACTCTGTACTTGACAAACACAGAACACTGCCAGCAAAAATAAGAAACATAAGGTAAACATGGCACATGGAGGTCCTTCTCGTCTTACAAACAATATTAGTATTCCTGGCATACATTGGATGTACTTAGCAAACGTTGGTAAATGATTCTCCTGTACCAGGAATGCCAACTTCGAGGATGTTCGACATGGATTTTGAGGCTTACCAGTTCTATAGACCGATCAATGGACTCCTTCGTATCCACACGGTTTCTCTTGATGATTCACCTCTTTTATGCAACATTCTGTGCCAAACGGAACGCCTCCCCCCCAAAAAAAGACAACGAACCGAGGCTCCACAGCAGGCACAGCAGGGCTCCGTCCGGTCACCCGGTGACCGCGCGCTGACCCGCGCGGAGAGCGGTCGGCGCCTGCGCAGCAGTTCTGCGCAAACAATGGGATCCCGCTCGCCACTGTCGCCCACCAGCACCGCCTGGCAGCGGCCCAAAACGACACGCTTGCGTTGCGAAGATCGACTGGATGTCATGTGGAAAAACATCCCAGGAACAAACCTTTTGGCGGCTGAAGTTCAAAACATGAATGGCTGCTTCATCCTGGTTCAAAGCTCTGGGACTTCTTCAGTCATCAAAGTCTTCCAGCAGGCTACAGTAGTCTACCTGTATATACGGTAATCTGCAGTAGTAGGCATCTTCTCTTCAACCTATAGTCTCTTCAGCCCCTATACTGTCTGAAGATCCACATCTCTTTAAAACCTTCAATGTCTTCAGCAGTAGTCAACATCCAACATCTTCCAACAGGGTTCTCTTCGTCCGATCTGATGGTTTCATACACAGTCCAAGATGCAGAATGTTGTATAGATATGCAACCATTGAATCCATGAACTATGTATACCCTATGAATCCTATGAATCCATGGTTTCATATCTTTACAGGGTCTGTTAAAATACCCATGTATACCCTATAAAATTCCTATGAACTCACTCCAACAAGTATGCATGACGCATGACCATCTCCCTACTTGCAGAAACTGAAACGTCCACCATCTTGGGACTCCTCAACGGACGCCCCACAGCGGTCCCGGACGTGTACACCGCGCCCGGTGCCAGCGTCACTAACGGCCGGTGCTGGGCGCCTTCTTTCGGGGGAACTGGCGCAGCAGCTCGGAGATGGTCTGCTCTTTGAAGGCGATCCTGTCCTCCTGCGCGGCCGTGCGGACGTGCGGACGTGGGCACTGGCCGTGCGCCACGAAGAGAGAAGAGACCATCGATTTCGTGGGTGTCCCAAGAATCGCCAAAGGGGCCGTGGGGGGCTTGTATCGTGACTTTGCGAACGGATTTGCTGAATCTGGGGTGAAGATTAGGACCTTGAAGATTGTATTATTTACATAAGATTGCCTTGCCGCCTTGCCTTGTCATTATCTTCTTGTCACTCTTATGGTCTATAATGCATTCAATATTGAAGGGCCAACTCCCACGTATATCGATTTATATGCAGCCGACTACTATAGAGTGGACCTCAAACGACACTGTCGACCTCAAACGGCGGAGTGCCGGACGTGCCAATGTTCAGAACCAAGGAGAGGTCTGTGATTCACTACTGGGAAACACACATGGTCACATGGTCTACGTCAGGATGATTCCCAAACAATCATGCTCTTTAGGGAATCTGAGAGGTTGAAGACTTGGCCAAACATGCGGCCGTTTGAGACCGGCCGTTTGAGACCGGGTTTTGCAAGACCGTCGGTTGCAGGGACCCATCGACGCCGACCGGGCGCCTTGGAACCGCCCAAAGGCCGCAAGAAGACCGGCGCCAGAGGGAAACCTCTCGAGGATTTCGAGCTGGGGCGGAGCGCCGTTTACGGGGGGGAACTGAAAAGCACACCGGAAGACGTGAGCCCCAGGGTGCGCTGTGAAAAAGAGTGAATTTGAGAGGTGCCCAACCACTATGGAAAAAAGAAAACATATGACTTAATTAAGGTGTCTCCTGCCCAGCTTCTCCTCAGAACCTCTCCATGGGTCCAAAAAATGTTTGATTTCTGAAGACTTTTTGGTGTCCGTGAAGAAAATCACACACACAAATAATTACGCACATGTTCCACAGCTCTTTGGAGGGGAGCAAGAAAAACAACAACAACAACGACAACAACAACAACAACAACAAACAACAACAAACAACAACAACAAACAACAACAACAAACAACAACAACAACAAACAACAACAACAAACAACAACAAACAACAACAACAAACAACAACAACAAACAACAACAACAAACAACAAACAACAACAACAAACAACAACAACAACAACAACAACAACAACAACAACAAACAACAAACAACAACAACAACAACAACAAACAACAACAAACAACAACAAACAACAACAAACAACA